TGGGATGGGATGGCAGAGGAGGCTTTCCCAGAACAGAGTTTGTCCTCTGTAGACCATGTGTAAGCCAACAGTTTATTTGCTGCCTGGGAAGTCCTGGGACACCTGTTAAGGACCGTGTCCTGGGCTGCAGCCTGCTCTCTGGGAGCCGACCTGGTAGCCAGCGGCCTGGCACAGACCGGCCGGTCCTCTGCTCTTCACTGCTTTCTCTTGCCGTCCTGGCCCCTCCCTAGATCCTTCTGTGCTCGGCACGGCTTGGGTGACTGACGAGACCGAGAATTCCCTGGACGTGGAGTGGGAGAACCCCTCAACCGAAGTGGACTATTACAAGCTGCTGTACAGCCCCCTGACGGGGCAGGAGGTGGCTGAAGTCACTGTGCCCAAGAGCAGCAACCCTAAGAGCCGATATGACATCACCGGTAAGAGCCAACACTGGGGATGGGAGATGTTTCCTGTGGATGCTGAGGTGGGCACAGCATGTGTAGGGGCAGACATCTGCACTGCCCAAGTGTGCACAGGGGTTCCTGGGCCTTAGCAACCACTTGAACCCGGACCCCAGAAACCCCCAGAAGTGAGCCGACTCTGGAAGCACGAAGACTCCGCTCCAGAATCCCAGAGTGAGTGCAGAATCTCAGAGCCCCTGCTTAGCAGACGACTCATCCAAAATGTTCTCCCATGTCCTCACTCTGCCTGTGTATCAGGGTGGATGTGAGGGCACACACGCATTCCTTTTGGAAGAACTGTGTGTGAGTGTGTGTCTGCGTGCGAGAGAAAGAGAGAGATATAGACAGAGAGATAGAAATTGATTGCTGGAGATCTTTTTTCTGGTACAACTCGTGGAAGGTGTTGCTGGGCAGCTGGGGTTGGGAGGTACTGTCCCAGATGCCTGAGCTAGTGCTGCGAGAGCAGGAAATTATAGGCTTTTAGGAAAACGCACCACGCAGGGCTAGGCCATGTGTTGTGGTGCCTGAAGCTTATACAATCTCCAGGGCCGTCTTTAAGGAACGCAATACGCACTCATGAACGCCCAGTTCGGCACGTGGCCTTGGAAGGGGCCGTGCAGGTGAGGGGCCCCCAGGCCTGGGGCTCCGTGGTGAGCCCTCCTCTGGGCCGTGTTCCTCTGCCGGTGCCGAGTTCGGTCTTGAGTGGCAGTCTTGGGTCTCTACTGTTGGTGAGTGAAACGCAGTGTGCTCACTCATGCTGCTGCTGGCCTGCATTTGCCACCCGCGTCGGTGTGTGTGGCAGGAGGAGCAATCGTTCGAGTTGATACTGCAGAGAAATAACAAGAACAAGAGGAAGAGAAAAGAAGAAAAATGAAAGAATTAGGTTAATTATTACAGTGAGAAGGAAAGAACCTTGCTTGGTGGCCCAACAGAGGAAGGGGAGCGCCATCGGCTTGGTCTCACCCACTCTGCCTACCCCGCCCCCCAACTCGCTGCTGGGACCTCACTGGTCCTGCAGCTCTTTACCCACCTTAGATAGATTAGTCTTCAGGAGAGAAATCCTGGGGGGAGGGCAGTGCTGGGGGTCCGGGATCCAGAGCCTGTTCTCATGTCCAGCACTGGTTGCTTCTTTCCAGGTCTGCAGCCTGGGACAGAGTATAACATCACAATCGTCCCCATGAGAGGAGACCTGGAGGGCAGGCCGATTCTCCTGAATGGCAGGACAGGTAAGAGCTGCTTGGAGACACCAGGGGCTTTTCTCACGTTTGCCTTCTGATGTTTTTCTCAGCTGACTCCTCTCTGGATAAAACTCCAGGATTTGTGTGTAGAGACATTCTGTCTTTGTGTACTGAAATCTATTTTGGGGGGCAAAGGGCTACTGGATTCAGACTGTAGAAACCTTTCATATCACACTTTATTTTATTTGCCATTATCATCATCATCATCATTATTATTATTGAAGGGCTTGTTTGTCCCTGGTGAAGCCCTCCCAGCTTAGGGTTCAAGCAGAGGTCCGTCGTCCACCTGCCTCCGGTGACGGAGACAACCTCTTGCGTTGTGTAGACTGTGGAACGAGGTCACCTGGGGGAACTAGATCTTGAAGCATCGTGGCCTTGACCGGCCAAATGGCTTCTCTAATTTTTCTTTCTCACATGTTTTTATGAAGAAATTGATAGCCCGACCAATGTGGTCACTGACCATGTGACAGAAGACACGGCAGCAGTGTCCTGGGACCCCGTCCAGGCTGCCATCGATAAGTACCTGGTGCGCTACACCTCTGCCGACGGGCAGACCAGGGACACCGCGGTGCCGAGGGAGCAGAGCAGCACCGTCCTCACGGGCCTGACTCCGGGGGAGGCGTACAGAGTCCACGTGTGGGCCGAGAGGGGCGGGCAGGAGAGCAAGAAGGCCGACACCACGGCCCTGACGGGTACGAGCAGAACAGGGGTGTAAACAGGATTCCTCGCGTCAGGGAGAGGCGGGTGCCCACCTGGCCACAGTTTATTGGGTCATCATTTTGGTTGTGTGTGTACTGGCCTTTCATGAACCAGAGAGTTGGTAAATGCTCCACTCTTTCATTTCTCTTAAAGAAATTGACAGCCCCCAAAACCTGGTGACCGACTGGGTGACAGAGACCACAGCCACCATCTCCTGGGACCCGGTGCAGGCCGTCATTGACAGGTACATGGTGCGCTACACCTCCGCCGATGGAGACACCAGGGAGATTCCAGTGGGGAAGGAGCAGAGCAGCACCGTCCTGACAGGCCTGAGGCCGGGTGTGGAGTACACGGTCCACGTGTGGGCCCAGAAGGGGGACCGGGAGAGCAAGAAGGCCGACACCAAGGCCCCGACAGGTAACAAGAGAAAGGCGGTCCATTGGAATTGAATTTTGAGCACATGTGTTTGAATGTGTATGGTACCAAAAGACGTGGCTTGAGTTGAAGGACTTTGCAAAGCAAGTCTTAATGCTCAAACAGGACGGCAAGTCTAGTGTTTATGTCCATGAGCTGCTCTACCCAGCAGTTCTGAGCCACTCGTGAAACCCTCAACCCAGTAGAAGGGAGATGTAAAGTTGTGCAATAGCTGTGTTTTTAGCAGACTCAGCAGAGACATTAAAAGGATGTGGCCATTGCAGTGCTGGTGGTAATACTTTTAGAATGATCGCCCGTGAAGTAGCCTTTGGTAAGATGATAAATTAGTTACCCTGAAGGTCATGGCCACTACATGATGGATTGTTTTGATGTGTCCATAACACTGCTAAGAAGACATTGCTCCTTCCACATTGCTGGGAGCTGAAAGCCAAGCAAGTATGTCAAGCTTATAAGGAGTAGTCCTTTGGAATTGAGAACCAGGGGTGACCTGTTCCCTCACCTCCCACTCAGGGAGAGACTCAGGATGGGAATACCATTCCTTGTGCCAACAAAGGATGAAATCATGGGGATGGGCTGGTGGGCATCTCTTCTGTAACTTAAAAGCTCAAACTTTTCTAAACATTTTCTTAAAGAAATTGACAGTCCAACAAATCTGGTGACCGACCGGGTGACGGAGACCACAGCCACCATCTCCTGGGTCCCTGTGCAGGCCGTCATTGACAGGTACATGGTGCGCTACACCTCTTCTGATGGAGACACCAGGGAGGTTCCAGTGGGGAAGGAGCAGAGCAGCACCGTCCTGACAGGCCTGAGGCCGGGCGTGGAGTACACGGTCCACGTGTGGGCCCAGAAGGGGGACCAGGAGAGCAAGAAGGCCGACACCAAGGCCCCGACAGGTAATGGAGTGTTGTTCTTTGACCTCATGCTTTGGTCTTATAAAGATAAATGGTGATCAATCCCATCCCCCCACTGTTCCTCCCATTGTGTATTTCCTTTGTGATCAATCATTAAATATTTCTTCTTTAAGAGGAAAAGTATAAAGAAGCCATATATGTCAGGACCCGTGAGCTAAGTACTTTTGGGAAATGGCTTTTGCTGCTGTCTCTTTGGAACGAGGAAGGGTTTTCTTGTGGATAAGTCCTCTTTAGAGAACTGTATGCCCTGTTCTGAGGGTCCTGCGGTTGCAGTAATAGACAAGAACAGGTCCTAATTTTTAAAGTTTTTTTATCTGTTTCCTCATGTTTTAAGAACAGACTTATTGATATGTAATTTATATATTGTAAAATTCACCCTTTTAAAGTATACAATTCAGTGGTTTTTAGTATATTCACAGAGTTGTGCAACCATCAGCTTGAACTAATTCAGATCATTTTTATCAACCCAGAGAGAAACCCCGTATCCATTACCAGTCACTCCCATCCCCCCTCCTCCAGCCCTAGGAAAATGGTACTTTCTGTCTCTCTATATTGCCGTATTCTGAACATTTCATAGGAGTGGGTTCATACAATGCGTGGCCTTCTGTAACTGGTTTTGTTCACTAAGCATGACATTTTCAAGGTTCATCCGTGGTGTAGCATGAATTGGTGCTTCATGTTATTGTCACATAATATTCCATGGTGTGGCTGTAACACATTTTATTTATCCATTTGTCAGTTGATGGGCATTTGGGTTGTTTCCACTTTCTGGCCATTGTGAATAATGTTGCCAAGAGCATCTGTGCACAGACTTTTGTGTGGATATATTTTCAGTTCTTTTTGGTATATGCCAAGGAGTGGAATTCTGTGTCACATATATTGGTAACTCGTTTAGCTTTTTGAGGATCTGCCAAGTCATTTCCAGAGTGGTGGCACTGTTTCACATTCCCACCAGCACTGCATGAGGATTATATTGCTCAATTATTGGGTCCCGAGTGGAATTTGTTGAGATGGACAGAGCAGGGGTCAATATGCCCATTTTACGGTTGAGAAACCTCACTACATGTGCATGCTTTCTGTAAGTCACAAAGAGAGCTGATGATTCATGGAGCCAGATTTGTGGAATATTCATGAAATATGATGGTACCTTAAACTCTGTTTAGTGAGACCCACGTTTTACAAATGAGAAAACTGAGGCCCAGCCAGACGCAGCAGAATTGTTCAGGGCCAAGCTGGCCAGTGGCAGAGCTGGGCCTGGATACCTGGTCTGCTGGCTCCAGCCCAGGGCTCTTTCTGCCCCTCTGCTCTGTCTCTGGGCTGGAACTAGAAGCTAGCTCTTCTGACTTGGGACTTGGGGCTCATTCTACTGTCCTGTGCTGCCTCCTTGAGGATCCCATAGTCCAGCCGTGGAGAGAAGGTCTCTGTCCATGACACAACCGAAAACCTGTGTATGGGATGGGAAAACCCTAAGAACAGGAAGCTGCCTCACCCTGAGCAACATGGCCACGAAATCTCAGTCTGTCAATACTGTTCACTGATCAGCATTTTCCTTTCAGACATTGACAGCCCCCGAAACCTGGTGACCGACCGGGTGACGGAGACCACAGCCACCATCTCCTGGGACCCGGTGCAGGCCGTCATTGACAGGTACATGGTGCGCTACACCTCCGCCGATGGAGACACCAGGGAGGTTCCAGTGGGGAAGGAGCAGAGCAGCACCGTCCTGACAGGCCTGAGGCCGGGTGTGGAGTACACGGTCCACGTGTGGGCCCAGAAGGGGGACCGGGAGAGCAAGAAGGCCGACACCAAGGCCCCGACAGGTACTGCGAGGGACCCGACAGGGAACCCTTCGCATGTGTCAGGCGTGGGGAAGGGAGCAGGGAAGACCGTGTTTCACCTGAGGACATTCTTCAGAGGGGCTCCCTTTTTACCGTTTTGAGGTCATACGTTGACGTGACGGTTCTTATTAGCATGAAAGAGTGCAGAAGCAGTGGTGTCAAAGCCAGGCTGCGTGGCCGGCCAAGGCGGCTGTGAAAAAGGCAGCCTCCCTGACCGGCCCTGCACTGCCCAGCTCCCTGTCTGCCTAGATACAGAACCTGGCTGGGCCTCAGACCCAGCAGGAGGAGAGGGAGGCCGGGAGCCTCTTCTGTTTCCCTCTTGCAGACGGGGGCAGTGGTGGAGCGTCTTCCCCTCACTGTCCCTCTCTAGTCGGTGATCAGGGGGCCCGGGGGCCTGTATTTTATATGCGTGATGGGGCCTCTGGTCTCGCTGAGCATCATGGTGGTCAGACCTCAGGGGGTCCTGAGAGGAGCACTGTGCCCACCCTGAGGTCGGAGGGCCTCCTTAGACAGTCCGGGCAAGGCTTGGCCATCCCCTCTGTGGCCAAGTACAATACCTGAGGCCACTGGAGTTATAGAGGTGACTTGAATTTCTTTATAATTATTAGTTACAATTAAACAGTTTTTAATCAAAAAAGCAATACATGCTTATGTAAAAATGTTCAAACTGAACAAGGGTATATAGAAAGAAAAGCTCTTTTCCACATCCTGGAATCCCTGAAAAGAGTGCTGCTGTCCAGAGACAACCAGTACTTTTCCCCCTCCCCCCC